TTTAAGCATAGTTGTGAGAAAGACAGAGGGAAATCATTCCCTTCCAGCTGCAGACCTGTTTCCCTGCTCCACTCTAGAAGGCATCCAAGAGCAGGAGTTGCTCTTCTGAAGAGATTTTTCCCTTCAGGCAAAGACAAAAAGCATGAGGGTACTGGAAGTTCAGGCATTTTGTGAGTCTGGATGCAAAATCCCATTATTTCTGACCACAAAAAGCTTATGACACCAACTCTGTATTATATGCAAAATATTACTAGCAAAGTCCTTTCTTCTGGTATTCTAAGCCCTGAAGAAGGACTTGTTTGGGGTTTTTTTCCAAATATAACATTTACTTTCTTAAAAATATTACCTCTCTATACAAAGCAGGCTCTTGCAGCTTTAGCAAAGATACTGGTGCTTGCTCTCTCCCCATCTGGAGACAAAAAACAGCAGGTGGATATGTTTTGGGCTGGGCCGCCACATTGTCAGTCAGAAGATCTAGTTTGAGTATTCATCCTGTCGCAGCTACTTTGTGAGTTGCTTTATCTTTGTCCCTCTGTATCTCATCTGTATGGGAGGATAATAACTCTTGTCTTGTTCAGGTGCAGAGTTCACTTCTTACTGCAGCATCTAGTATGGTGGGAGGCCGATTCAATCTTAACCTGTGCCAATGTTATCTGCAGAAACTGTGCAAGGCACAGCCAGCTTCTTGGTGACCTGGAACAGGTTGAAAAGTGCATGGAAGAGGTAGGCATCTGCACTGGATTAAAAAAAAAATTAAAAAATAAAAAAAATAAAACAGAAAAACAAAAAAAACCCACAAAAAAACCCAACAATTAAAAAATCAGAACAAAAGGCTTTCTGTCAGGCTAAAATAACTAGACACTTATCTATGCAAGTGCATGACTCAAAGCATTGTCCAGCCCTTGTTCGAATTCAGTAGTCCAGAAAGTCAAATTGCTTTTCAAAGGCATGTCACACAGTTAAAGGACAAAGGTTCCTATGTACTTGAGGTACAGGGTAGGCAGTGATCCATGGTTCTTTGTAGGAACAGTGACCACAACAGAAACTGCTTCAAGTTGGCAAACATAGCTAATATTAATGACAGCAGCTTTGAACACTGCTGTTCAAGAGAAAATACAGAATATGGGACGCAGCGAAACTGGACAGCTGTCTAAAGCAGAGCACGTTCCATAATCCACACGTGAAGAAACATGCAGAGGTGAAAATCTGTTATAAATCAGCTTGAAAATCTGTCTGATTCATTTTGGAAGAGAAAATACAGATATATGTGTCAGTGTGGACAATACCATGTGTTCAAACACAAGGATCCCATTTCCCAAGATCATAAGACTATTTTTAAGAAAGCCCTAAACCAAACAAATGCTAGTGATTGTTGTACTTTACTGCTAATGCTGCCCTCAGCTTCTGTTTTCTAACATTCTTCACAATACTCCTTCAGACTGAGACTCCTACATAACCCCCTGAATCCAGAAGCTGGAACATAAAGTAAGAGCAAACAAACAGCTATTATGAACTGCCACAGAGAGCAGTATGATTAACCATGAATATCATTAACGTCTCTGTTAGCACATAGTACAGAATAATAAGGTGGAACAGGCCAAATGTACAATAATCTTAGACATATTCCAAAGCCTAGAATAACAGGGAGAAGAACAGTCACTCCAAGATGAACCAGAAACTTTATCAACATATTCAAACACGGAAAATTTCCATTTTCCAATGCCGTAAGAAAGCAAGCAGAAAATGAACTGATAATATTCATATATGGAAGTTACTTAAAATTTAAACTGATCTGTACACTGGGTTATTTGTAATTGAATAGCCAGCTAGCTCATGGGTACCCACTGAGGCATGAGATTTATAGAAAGCTATAAAACACGAACATTAGCGTCAGAAAGCTTTCAAAGATGGCTTAACTCTCAGAAACAAAGACATTCTCAGTCTGATATGTAGCACCTGTGGTTTTTCCCATCCGTAGTTAGATTGTTCAGCTCTAAGACAGCGATTTGTTTGGATGTTATACATTTAAATGAACACCATTTGACATTCATTCTGTCCCTGAAGCACTTCAAAGAGCTAACTGCACTGATTTTTGAAGGATTACAAAGTTATGAAGTTTTATTGGATGAAATTTTAATTTGAGCAGAGGCCTTAAACAGTACAATGAAATACTGACTTTTTTTTTTTTTACTGACATAGACACAAAGTCTCCAAACATTAAATTTTTAATAGTACATATTAGCGTGGAAAAAGCTATTTGTAGGGTCTGCTCAACTGCTGTCAACAGTGACTCACGTAAAAGAAAGTGATAGTTAAATGTATACATCATGATGAAATAAGGAGCATACCATTACTGTGAGAATGACAAAGCCATGGAAGCTCCTGCAAAGAGAAATACAGCATTTTATATGCTGTGCTCAGCATAAAGCAGATTTATCAAAGACAGGTTAGTCAACTTAATCTAAGGTCAGCAGAGGATATTTCACAGTTTATGACTTGTACGAGAATAGATTACGTGATCCAAACACCTAAATTCTACATATATACAGATTTAAAGTAACATACAATACACAGGCAAAATCTAATTCATATTAAGAGATGCTCATACATTCCTAATATAAGTCAATAAACTGATCTTGTTTAGCACTGCAGGGAAAAGATGTAAGCATAATTCTCTATTGAAGCCAAAGAGAAAGGGAAGACTCTGCACCTGTGTCTGCAGGAATGTGACAAGTATTAGGTGTACCAAAGTCACCCGGACAGAGACATGACAGGCGTTATCATCCCCATGTCTGGCAAGACCAAGCACAGCTGAAACCAGAACGCAGTTAGGAGAAACATTAATGATCATGTCCCAAGAAAAGCTGCCAGATGCTGTTAGAAGGAGCTGAAGAACTATAATGTATTAATAATAGGTATATGATTTCACTAAGTGTTAAAAAATCCACGGCCCATGTTGGACCTTGATCTTTGGTAACAAATCCAAACCTGGGGAACATGTGACACCATGTAGCGTGCATCTGTTTAACTTCTTGGTGCACTAACTATCTCCCAGAGCCTGACCAGACTCTGAGGCAGGAGACTCTGAATGCAGTTAAAGAAAGGGCCTTGCCTTCCCACTTCAGCAAAGTGACCCCTGTGTGCTCATTAAATTTTATTCTGCAGGTAATTGCTGACTAAAATCATAGCAAGTCTGCACTCAACCTTGCTGGTCAAAGGAGGTGTTGCCTGTATTACAGTTTCTTGCTACTGAAGGTATTTAATAAGAAGGGAGTCAGATTTTCTGAGAGACCCACGTAATTGAGAGCTTTATTAATTGGCGCAACAGAAACACAAATAAGGCAGTATTGGTAATGGTTTACTTTTGAGGTAGAAAAGGGCGTATATTTTCCATCAACAGCATAACACATCAGTGCTGCTTGTACCACACCAATTTGTTACGCATGTTTTGCGGCGTTGGTAACGAAGGTGGTTTTGCATCAGGTGCCTTCATAAGGCATTTATCAGGGTACACCGTTCTGACACTAAGCATGTGTAACAATGCATTACGTGATCATAATAAAGTTAAATGATGCAAATATAGTGCTTAACCAGCAGAATAAGCTACCTTGAATATACTATGCAATATGTAACCATGAACAGCTTACAAAGAACCTGTAAATTATATTTTAGGAGCTAAAAGAGAGTGTTTGACTGATGGGGTATTTTTGGAAGCATTCTCCACCTGGTAAGATCACTGGCAGCTATCATTTATCTCAGTCTGACCAAGATAAAGATAATCTGAGCATACAAGTAATAACAAATCTTCTGCTGACTAGAATGCGCTCTAGTGCTCTCTGCAATTTCAGCAACAGGCTATTAACTCGTTTTTTGTTCAGTTTCTGCTTTGCAAAACTACAATAACCTCCCCGTAACTTCGTTAGCTTTCACACAACTTGGGGGGACAAACCTGGCAGGGAACTAATTTCTGAGCAAGCTCTATCTTCCACCAGCACTAAAGAGAACAAGAAAATGGAGCAGTGCTCTGCGTCACACACCCAGCGACTGTCCCTCCGAATCAATCAAAAAATGGTTCTCTTTACTATAAAAGGAAAATCAAGAGAAGCGACTTGCTGAACATGCAGTAAATGGTTAACTTTCCCCAGCCCTGAAGCCAAGAATGAGCATTGAGTTGGTCCTGTCCAGAAAAACATATTAGCACCATCACACCAGCAGATCCTGACACAGGATGCCTTCGGAGGAAGGGGAGGATTCGGAAGAGAATGAGCAATAAAAAGAAAGGCATTGAGGTGACATCTGCAGAGGCTGGAGAATAATTTCCAGAGAATGAATCTCTTTTAATGAACCGAGCTTTAACTGTTATCAGTCCCCACTAGAGATCATTACTATGAGAAACAACGAGAGCTGCTTGTATCACTTTCTCCCTGCAGGACATGTCTGAGGGAGAATAAACCTCTCTCCTTCTTCTCCAGTGTCAGCTTGTTATTGCCAGCACTGGCTATAATTGAATAAGCTCTATTGAGATGATAGCTAAATTTAGCAGATATTAGCATCAAGTCTCTAGCGGGGCAAAAATGGGGGAGGAAAGCTTTAAATAAATAGACTAAAGTAACACTGAATAATAGATGCAATTTACAGCGGAGCGAACCTCTGTGCCCAAAGAGTCTGGCACAAGAGTTAAATCTGGATTTTGGGTCCTCACAGAGACAAAACATGACACCACTGCTGGCCATCTGCTTTCTTCCCAGCCTGTTATTATTATTATCACTGTGATGGCAGGGGCCCCTCAGAGCCCCGACCCCATTACAGTGGCTCCATGAGGGTGTAGCGCAAACGGCCTGGGGGCAGGCAGCCAGACCACGCACTGCAGAAACAGGAGAGAGGGGCGACGAGGAAGGGCCACCACCAAGAACGCGACGCGCTCCCTGAGGGCGACCCGAGCTCAGGACGGGTCTGAGGTAATCTCCTCACAACATGGCGCCACAACATGGCGCCACAACATGGCGCCACGGCCCTTCCCGCCCAACACCCGCGCGCAGCTCTCTCTGCGCATGCGCGTCAGGCCCAGCACGGCGCCGGAAGTGCGGCGCCGCGGTGACGGAAGTGGCGTCACGCACGGGCGGAAGTTGGCCACCGGCGCGGGGCGCGCGGGCATGTCGGCCTCC